AATGTCACATTTCCTAGAATGTTATTGGTTTGTGGTTAGTCTTGCCATTATACCCCTATCAAGTAACAGGGTAAGTATGGGATGGTCCTATATAAGGGATCTTTTGACAGTAAAGTTGTGTCATAGACTACACATGACGGATTGGGACAATGTGGCTATTACTTTGGAGAGGGGGCGTCCATTTTATAAGTCCGGAGGTTCCACCTCAAAGCCATATAGCCCATGCTTGTTTAACAGGGAATGTAATGTATGTTCAATTTCTGTTAAAATTGTGTGGCCCTAGAAACAACAGAGTTGAAGGGTATCCGAACTGCTACTCGGTACACACTTGAAAAAGAAAGAATTAGGTTGATACAGAATGGAATAGTGTGGCCTGTACCTTTTGATCAAGACGTAGTTTAACAGAAAGTGCATCAACACAAGCCAAGTCCAGAACTTTCAGGAACTCCTCCCTCATACATAATGCTGAACTAAAAAAAGATGGGGAAGCCAATTAAACAATTAATACTGCAAATCTTTACAGTACAGATAGTAAATGAAGCAGAACAATTCGATTTAGTCAAATTTGCAAAATACTTGAGTATAATTTAACTGCTTGAACACAAATGCTTGTAATATACAGCTAAAGTATTAACTGGACATGAACCACCTCCAAAAAGGATTTCCCCATCAGTCACCACAGATATATCTGGATTGAAATCTAAGTAAGAGCATTCATAATGAAACATTTCAGCATGTGTATCTGAGCGCAGGTTATGGGAGTATATAACAGACCTTCTTTGTATGATTTCCTGAAGGTTGGAAATACCCACAGCCAAGATCACTGCATCAGCCTTTATCCTGTCATTCCCGCAAAGTACTTCTGAAATACAACCTGTTTCTTCACTGAAGAAGAAATCTGTAACTCCTCTGCCTCTACGAAATTCACACCCGTTGCTTTTCAACAACTCCCTCCATGGCTCAAATATTCTTTCTTTCACACTTCCACGACACAGCAACTTGTCAGAATTTTCCTGCCTCATTTCAGAGAAGAGTTCAGAAGCACAAACAAGTCATCAACAACAAAAGAAAAGAAAGAAGCTGAGTGAGTTCCAATAGTAATTACAGTACAAGGAGCAATATAAATTTGTAATAAACATGTTTGATATAATATGATCATGTTCTTCCTAACTCAATAAGCTGAGCATGTTCTGGATATAAGCATATAACATATTGTTTCTATTGAACTTTAGAAATCAAACCTGATGAGCAATGACATAGTAGTAGAGCACAGCCAGAGTGGCAGCTGCACTGATTTGCTCAATTGGTGCATATAAACGCGCTTCAAGCAATGGCTCCAAAATATTTCGGTACAGCTTCTCTGAGCATCCAAACTGTCTTAAAAGCTCTCTTGCAGTAACTGAGTTAAAAAATAAAAACACCAAATTGAGACACCTGGAGAGCATCCTATAATACTCATGTGCGAAGGAAACAAGATATTGCAACACATTACTAGTACTTGCAGAGGACCAAAGGTATTCTCACTTGGATCATATTTTCTCCATGCTGAATCAGTGTTGTCAAAATCTATCACTGCAAAACATATGTGACATACATATAAGTCAAAATGCAATTTTAAAAAGCAATTTTGGTTGCGGATATAAGATTTTTGTTGACTAGGTTCCAGATACAGAATGAAAATTGTGCAGCTGATTGGTTGTCAAAATCTTGTTAGTAGGAGATGGGTATTGTTCTTAAACCAGTCTCAGATCAAGATTAAATTCTTTCTCAATACTTTTTAGGATTCTCCTTAGTGAGAACGGTATCCTAATACGTTTTTCACCGCCTTACAAAACGCAATTAAAAAACCTGATACATAACTTAACATTAGAAACCAGCTACACCATACATCACACTATCACACAGTAATTGTATAAACGTATCAAAACGAGCTTTACCTGCAGCCAATAGAGGAAGTGATGTCAAACGATCCACCAGAGGTAGCCGTGTGAACTGCAGATAATAGCCAGAAATCGTGTTGAAAGCGTGAAACTTAGCATTGTCCACCATAATGCAATCAGAAACTTTATTTGCTCAATAATTATGTAATAGCAGCTTCTTTGAGACATACTTGGGTCTGTGTTAGAGGTCCCAGTGGAGTAGGCAGTTGAGGCACATCTTGAAAGACTGGAAATTCCACCTGCAGAACAATCAAAGTGTGATCAAGAAGATGACCACATGACTGAAGCCACGAATACATACACATATCCAGTTTATTTGGTTTGATTTTCTTACTGGTACCAACAAACAATTTAGTCCATTTTGGCCTCAAATACTTTAAACCTTCCTTACAAAAACCAATACAGTTTTTGGTGTAATGTATGTAAACACATGAAAAGTGGCAGCAGTAGTACCTCCAATCCCTCCTCAGAGTACTGTGCAGATTTCAACCAATTTGTGAATGGTTTGATGCCAAGCTCATCAACAAGGCTAAATATATTGCGGTAGGGGTACCAAAAACCTGAAATCAACAACAATTTAGGCTCGAGAAGTATTATATAACATCATCCAACTGGATAGCAAGACATTAAATCCTTAAGCACCTCTCTGATATGGACAATCATATTAAGTGTACCTAATAATACAAAATCACCAATAATTTGAATATATCTCTCAATTTAACACCCTATTGACATATTTAGTAGGCATTGTTATATACTGGTTGACTGACTACAATGTTCAACACTGATATTGCAAAAAGCACAATATAATGTGCATACTGTCAAGTTGCATTAGCCAAATTTCGACTTCAAACAATAATATAGTGCCAATGTACGTTATTTTTGTGCAATCTATACACAAGATGTGCATAGAATTTTATACTTTATTTTTTTTTGTTTTTTTTTTGGAAACAATAGAATTTTATACTTGATTGTCAATGTACTCCCTGGTTCTCCCTCCATTTGCCTAGAATCAATTGCAACTCATTCATTATATTTGAAGAATTTCCAGAAAAAGTTGTGGCCTTTCCTAATACAACAATCATGGTTTGGACAATGCAACAACTTGCAATAGCAAAAATGCCAATCAAATAAACAATCATAAAACTTTGTCATGATACCTTGAATTCCAACTTCATCAGGAGTATAAGTAGAAAACCCAGATTCCACACCCCCTTCAAGAACAGTAACATCAAACCCCTGAAAATTCAATTGACCACAATCCAAAATCCATCAAACTCAACACAAAAAAAGAAGTCAAAGTCACTCAATGAAGAAGATTTAGAGAGAGAAAGACCTGTTTAGTGAGATGATGGGCCGCACCAAGGCCAGCCCAACCCGACCCAACAACCAGAACTCTCTTCATGCTTTCTTTGGGTTGTGGGCCTTGATTTTGGGAACTTTCTGCCCTGCAACAAAATCTTCTACTCCTGTTATGTTTACATGAATTTGAAACAAATAAAGGGGTAATCTTCAAGCAAGACAACATTTTTTTTTTTTTCTTTTCTTTTTTCAGATGAACACTTTTTAGTTTTTTTATGGTGGGTTTATAATTGGAATATTTATATATATGAACACTTCCCCTCAAAATATATATATATATATATATATATATATATATATATATATATATATATATATGAACACTTTTTTTGTTTTAAAAATAATTGTTATGTTATGTTAATTTCCTTCAATCCTCACCACTGATGTTCACTGCTCATAGATCACTACTTTCTTCATTAGAGCCGTAAGACAATTAAGAGGTGTAGATGAGCAATTTAATATTACCTACATTCCAGAATAAATGTATGGAGTACATTAAAAAACTACTACATAAAATAAACTTTATCATAATTTTCAAATTAGTATAGAGTACATTAAATCAAATATTACTACTACATAAAATGTTATGGGCTTGTCTCAATGTATATATTTGAGGTATCACATCAAATTAGTTTTAATTATTAATATATGTTTGATATTAATGGTCAAAAGTATACATACAGTACAAGACAAACATGAAATAAGTTATCATACTCCGTATTAGAAATTTGCGGTATAAAAAGGAAAATTGATAACTTTAAATCAATCATTCAATATCCCTTAAAATTGACAATCGTGGAGTGAAATTACATATTTCATATGCTTATATTTTTACGCTAATCAATGCATACTTTCAACTTTATAGTTCTATAATTATATGTTAACTAGAGTGGCTAACGCGCACAATGCGCAGGCCATAGCTAGTTATGTATGAGAAGTTTTTTCGATTTAGCCTTATGCCATAACTTTAGTTATTGGTAAGACTAATGAGGAAGATTATATAAACTACTGTTTTTAGGGGTATAAATAATATAAACACACTTTAGTGTTAGAAAAAAATAGGCAATTAACATTAATAAGGACAGATAAGTAAATAAACATTTTATAAGGTATGATCGTTCAAATACTATTCATAAGTGTTAACTCAAACTATTAAAAAGTAGAGAAAAGTTATGGTTTAATTTAAAGATATACATTAAGACGAATCTATTAAAATACTATTGGGTACATTTATAAAGATAAACTAAAGAAAAATAAAAGTTGCAATAATATTACTACATATTATTCACCTAAAGATGTCCCCACCTCATAAGTATCATCCTAAACATACAATCAAAAACTCCAAAATACCCCCAACCCCAGAGAAATCTATCACCCCTCATTCTTGTCAATTTGTTAATCCATAATGCATCCTAGTAGAATGATTGAATACCTTGCATTTTGGGCTATTTTAGCCTTTCCTTCAAAGCAAATCTTGTCCTCATTTTCTAGACTAGTTCTACTAAATTAAGCAACTTGGATTCTTTCTAATCACACAAAAAGTGAAACCAGAAAAAAAAAAAATTAAAAATAAAATAAAATTCCAAACCTTATTTTTATTTTTCTCTCTGTCTCTTTTTTTAATCATATATTAGCTGAAACACGACAACAATGTCAAAACCTTTATCCCAAAAGAATGTGATTGGCCACATGAACCAAAATTTTATTTCCGATAATCATTCTTAAAAAAATAAATCCACAACTATACTTCATTTGCTGGTCCACAAAGAAATAAGCTGAAACTGACCACCATTATTTTTTCTCTCTCTTCCCTTCTCAAACACAAACACTTGTATAGCAGAATCCTCTCACAACACTCAACCAAACCAACAATATCCAAAACAAAACTACATTGTTTTCCATCAAATCCCAACATTTTTTTATTTTTTTTTAATATTCTTCAACCCTTTTATTCATACTATCTAAACAAATACAAGTAAATACATAAAATAAAAAATATTATTTATAGCCTCGCAAAATTTCTCTGGCCAAAAACATCCACCACCAAAAATGTCAGCTTCTCTCTCCGTGCGGCCCACTAGCCCCGGATTTCATCGCACCACGGCCCAGCCCAGTTGGCCCAGACGTTGTTGGGCCGTCTCTATACCCTCCCGTCGGACCTTAGCACCGGGCACCACCTTGGTTCGGGCCGGTTCTCGGGCCGATGATTCAGCCCCGTTTGGGATGTCTGTGGAGAACGCTTTGAAGCTTCTGGGTGTTTCGGAAGGAGCTTCCTTTGATGATATTTTGCGTGCCAAAAATTCAATCATTGCTTCTTGTAAAGATGACCCTCAAACTGTTGCTCAGGTTTAACAAGTGTAAATTTTTCAGCACCTTTACTATTTCAATTTCTTTTTTGTTTAATTTATGTTGTTATATGAATAAATTATTGATTTGGGTGTTTGGATTCATTAATAATTTGTTGTTTGGATGATTGGATTATGTTTATTGATTCTGGGTTTTCTTTGGATAACGTTGATCATAATTAGTTTAAATTTTGTTACATGTGATTAGTTTCAATGACGATGATGAATTTTTGCTCCTTATATTTTGAGGGTGATGTTTTGGGAGTGTGTATGTGGTTGTTAATTGTTGATGGGTTTTGATCTTTAATGCATATATATTGCATAAATTCAGTTAGTACTTGATTTCGCCATTTTTGTGATAAAATTCTTTTGAGATGAGGCGAGCTAGATTCTGATTTTCTCTACAGAGCTTGGAAGTAGTACTTGATTTCGCCGTTATGAATTGCTATTGAACTTTCTATAATGTTTCTGGAGTTCATTGATGAAGTGATAATGTAATGATTCTGATTTTCTCTACAGAGCTTGGAAGTAGTACTTGATTTCGCCGTTTTTGTGATGAGTTGCTATTGAACTTTCTATAATGTTTCTGGAGTTCATTGATGAAGTGATAATGTAATATGCTATGTGGACAGTGGTGGAGATATATTTGTCTTTTTATAAACAAGATGTTCTTTGGTTTCCTCATCTTGTTGACTCGAAGATTTCCGATTTAATCCAATTTAGTTGATGTTTCTTTAGGTAGTCCTTAGCCAGGTAGCTAGGAAATGAAACATGTTTCAATTTTTGGTTTTGGTTTAGAGAGTGGAGGGCTTTGTTGCTAACTAATTAGATAATAGAAACTAGATTCAGGTGCTTGGTGGTGATGAAAACAAAATAAAGAATTGGTATTGGTGGGGGCATTTTCTTGCTTTTGGCTATTTATTTGTGAGACGGCGATGAATGTTATAGATGTTTCTCCTTTCCATACAAGATCATGAATGTTTAGCGTAATGTGTTTCCACTCATTGCCTAGGGTTTTATTCAGGAAGATTTAATATAGATAAACCCAACTAATGAAATTGATAGTTTGGATGCTTATTGTACTGTATATTTCTATACTTGGGTTTATTATATTGGACCACTAATAATTGGGTTTATCTGTTTAGATTTTCTTAATCCTGTTACCATAATGTTGTAGCAGAACACTACATCCTCTCTCTACCCACTTCTCCAACCACCTGAGTGACTGATGTTAATTTTGGCACTGGCTCAGTACTATAAGCATGACCAACTTTCCTTGATGTTGCTCCTCATAGACGTTTAGGCTTCATTCTTTTCGCCTGAAAACTTCTTTTTAAACTACACTTTTTAGATGCAAAATAAATATGGAAGCCTTTGTCAATTCACCTGGACTTGTTTTTAACTTTTTACTGTGACTTGTTTGAACTTATTTGAAAATCCTTACCTGCTTATCATTTGTACGGTAAACTGAACAAGGACCTTTCTTATGCCTTATGAGTCACTTACATGTCTTGCCGCAAATGTCTATTATAACCCATAATTGAGATTATTCATTCATGTTTTTTTAGGTAGAAGCTGCATATGATATGTTGCTCATGCAGAGCTTAACACAGCGCCGAGCTGGAAAAGTTGTTAACAACAGTGTTCGCTTTGCTGATGTTAAACCTGTTAACTCTCCTAGTATGGGGACGATGCCTCAGTGGCTGCAATCATCAATGAAAGGTTCTTCTGTTACGGTTGAAACACCTGCTGCATCAGACCTGGGACTACAGGCTGGTGTTTATGGCGCAATGATGGTTTTGACCTATATCAATGGAACGGCATCATCTGCTGGAGCTGTGGCTGGGGCAGATGTTCCGGGGTTTATCCTAGCTACCAGTTTTGGAGCATCCCTATATTTCATGACGAAAAAGAATGTGAAGTTAGGTATGGCTCACTGTGACTCTTAACTCTCAATTTTCATTCATGTAGCTGATATACTCTTCTGCGACACATGTAACTGTTATACTCTTCTGCGACACATGTAACTGTTATATTCTTCTGCAACACATGTAACTAATATCTTGTTCTAGATTCATTTGAAAACATTTTTTCAAATCATTTGGAGGGTAAGACCTTGAGACTAAGTCACCTGTTTCTGGATTGTTGTATTGAAGGGTCAACATAGTTGATGCAATGCAGCACATAATTATGTAAAATAATTCAAGAAAGAATAAAGGAGATTTCTTTTGTTGGTGCTGCATTACCTACCTCATCCCTAAAAAGAAAGAAAGCACATTAAGAAATTGATGTTGGGGAACTTGGCCCACATCTTTCCAGTTGAACCCAATTACCATTATGTTGTTCCCAAAGCATTTGTTGTTTTTGGATTAAAAATTAAGTAGCCTATTTGTCTTTTAGTTAGGGATGATTGGGCCATTGGGGAACTAACAAGGGCAAATTGTCCTAAATGTTTTAATTGAACATGTTGTAGTTACACATCGATTTAGCCGTTTAGGACTCTATTGAAAATATTCCCCCCCCCCCCCCCCGGGGTAAAGCTGTTGTTGCCTAATTGTTAGGGAATTATCTGGATTTTATCAAGAATATGATTACAATTTAAACTATTTTAGCTTATAGGGAATGCATCCTCCATGTTGCTACCGAATGCCCCGGAGTAAATACTATACTTATTTCATGTGTGGTTATTATAAGTATTGATTGGAAGTTGGTGTGTGTTCAGGTAAAGCAACTCTGATAACCGCGGGTGGTCTTGTTGCTGGTGCAGTTGTTGGTTCAGCTGTTGAAAATTGGCTGCAGGTAGATATTGTTCCGTTTCTAGGTCTGCACTCTCCTGCTGCAGTAATCAGTGAATTTATCATCCTCTCCCAGTTTTTGGTCTCTCTATATCTTAGGTAGGCTCTAACAAAGTTGTAATTATTCCTTGCAGTTTATAATTACAGACTCCTAGTTTTTACTTTTTGCTCGAACATATCCTTGCATTTTTAGGATGTGTAGCTCATGTTATGTACAAAGGAAATGTAGCAGAAATTCTTATTATTTATAGTAAATACTATGGATTTCTTACTTATTACATACTAGAACTTTTGTGCATGAAAAGCCTGGCATCATGTAAGTTACTTCATATAAATGTTACATAGTGCAGAATAATGTGCAGAATAATGAATATCAGCCTCATTATGTACACTTATGGTTTTGAAATGCATTGCTGAGGCATGAGATTTGTAGTAAGCTTACTCGAATCTGGTTGTGCGCCAAAGGATTATAAATTAGAAATTGCATGTTGATTCTGTTATTCAAAATTAGAAGAGAAAATTAAAAAAAAGAGTGATGTTTCTTCTACTTGGGGATAGCTGTTTTGTTTCAAATATTGTTTAAAATCAATTATCTTATGATAAGAAAAACATTTCTTGGTTACCCAACTTAGTCATGTGAACTTTGACCCTCTCTTACCTAGGAAAACCCAAGAACCATCTGACCACCTTCAATCTTCATCTGTTTACCACAAACTCTGAAGCTTTGGGTGAAGCAAAAGTTTTACTCCACACTTGGTTTTTTTTTTTTTTTACCAAGCAGTAAAAAAAGAAAGGAGTGTTTCAACTTTGTTTTCTTGCTGTTTTGAGTCATTTAATTCCCAATGGTTTGCGTCCCTTATTGCTACTGGGATATTTTCTCAATGATTTCAGATGTGTTGATAGAATGGTCCTTGAGAAGAAAAGGTCTGCCTTTTGTCCCTTTTGGATCCTGAGCCTTCTCTAAGAAAAAGAATGTTAACAGTTTTACCTTTCACCTGAGTCTTTGTCTATGCTGGTTGACATTATCGTAGCCGAGTCTTGAGGGCTAGGACCTAGAGGGGTGCAAATGGGTCAATACGATCCGTAGTCATTAGATTTTGATTTGTGCTGTTATAAATCTTGTTAGATTGGTGGATAAACTTTCTGTTACGTATCATAATCTTAGACACACATTATGGGGGCATTGCTAAAGTTGGATTGTAACAATTTGTACTAAAACGCCAAGATGCACTCGTACTACATGTCTACATACACATACAAAGAATGCCCACCTGACAATTCCTGGAGCCACAAACAACCTAAAATTACTAGGCCAAAGAGACATGTGCACATCAGGAATTCTTTGGTCTTACAGCAAAATTGTGGGCAATCATCACTCCTATCAATTAAGTCGCAAAAATAAAACAATCCTACGGCAAACAACTAATAATCACTTCAAACCTGCACCTCAGCGAGCTGCTTCGATGCAAGTCTAATGTACAAACTGACTCTAGAATCCTTGATTGTTAAAATACTCAAGGTCTTTTCACCCAACCTCGGCTCATTTTTACCTTAGGAGCTCATTGACATAGGAACCTTCTTGGAAGCTTGTCTGTTGTTCACCCTTCTCCAAATTTTGGCGGTCATTCACCAAGTCGTTATACATTTTAAGTGAAGCTTTTGAGAAGTGCACCAAGGAGTCAAAAATCAAAGAGAATCCACTTTGGAATCCATTCAAAGTAATCCTTTGAGTTTCTTCCATGTAATTGTGATGTTTTTCCTTCTCAAACTCTAATCGACGCTTGAAATTATCCAATGCATCTTTCTTCTCTGCTAAAGAATCAGTTTGATGTTGTTGTTGGGTATCTTCTCGACTCTCTGCATCCTTTTCTGAAGGATTATACTCTAAAAGCTTAGTAGTCTCCTGAATTCTCCCCTCGAGTTTCTGATATGCAATCATCTTCTTCTCTAGTTCTTTAGCCATTTTGTCAACTTTTCTCTTTTGCTCTTGTTCCTCCCCTTGCTGAACCCATAATGCCCTCACATCCCTTACAAAACTCTTCATTGCCACAGAAACAGCCTTGTCAGGCAAATTTTCCATGGAAGTTAGCCAATCACGACATATCATGTACATGGGGGGACCTTTAGCTCGATATGGAGGTGGGTTAAAACGCTTAGACTTAGAGCCATATTCAACCTCTGGGACAATGAACTTGGACAGCCATCCATGAAGAGTCTCAACATAAGATCTTTGTGCAGCAACATACTCTGTGAAGCATTCCCGCCAGTTCTGAATTTCGGCCTCAAGCTGCAGGGTTGCAAGCCGGTGCGAGTCATTGCAGAATTTTCCATATGTTGGGCAGTCAAAGGTCTTAACCTCATAGATTATGTGGTTCTGGGTTTCATGGGATTCCATCATAATCTTCCATGACTGAGTTAAACTGCAGAGCAAGAAAGGATTATAAGCACACAGAGAAGTGAGAAAATCCACTACAGGATTCAGTATTATTGGATTAGGGGGGCTGTATTTCTTACCCTTGCAAGAGTTCAATAATCTGTGGCTGAAGCTCGTCATCTGCAAGCTTCTGAATTTGCTCAGAGATTGTCTCGGCTCGTCTGATGGCAACCAAAATTCGGGAGTAGAGATCTTTCACTGATGCTTTGGTCTTGTCAACTGATAACGAGTCATCCCCTTTAACATCCTTGTTTCTCAAATGTGCACATTTTTTTTCATACAACTTTCTGATGTTGTCTCCAGCCTAGAAACACAGACCAAAAGAAATACAACTATATGAGAATCTACACTTTATCCTATCAAATTTACCATCTAAACTGCTCAAAACTTTCTGGCTAAATTTTCATATAATCTGTTTTCAAGCAGAAATGCTGGTGTTTAAATATGCAGGTACCTATCATTAAAAGGGAAATTTTCCAATTTAGATTCTTTACCTTGACCTCATCATAGAGCTTCTTTTCCCAAGCATACAACCTTCCTAGGGTAAGTGAATGGCTTCCAGCGGACATGCCACCATAATCGTCAAAGAGATCATTCTTATACTCCGTCCATGAGGAGGAGTTCTTAGAGCTCGACGCCACTAAACTCTTACAAGATGAAGACCGTGCTGTATTCGATCGGTGCCATGTAATAGCCAGAATCAGTTTTGTTGAGTTTTCTGCATTTTAACAGCAGGAACCTAGTGAGAAACTTTTTTGCACAAAGAATAGAAGGAACAGTACTTTAACTTCACATGCTTCTAAAGCAGTGAATAAAGCTATATCCAGTAATACAAATCTCCCCATTTTCCTATTTCTAGTTAAGATCTTTCAAATTTGCTGGAAATTTTATATAATTGCAGCAAATAATGTCAGGGGTTTAAAATCCATCATAATTTCCTGGATAATTATAATTCAACACATACCATAATTTATCCTTCTATCAAATCAATCAAAGAATGCAAACTAATTCAATCACAAAATCCATAAAGAAGAGAACTTACAAAAATAAAAATTACCTTTAATTTCATCAAGACCAGATTGCATATGCATTTTGTTAGCTTCAAGCATCTTAGAAACCTCTTTACCAGAATCAAAAGCCCTAATAAAATGATCCTCAATATCTCTTAATGCATCCAACAACTCTCTTCCTTTAACTGGTGTATCAATTACTGTCAACCCTTTCTCATTTTCTCTCACATTTCCACCATCCATTGTCTTAACAACATCACCTCTTCCTCCACCTCCCACCATTTGCTCTACATTGCCCTCGCCTCGCCCGCCACAGCCACTACCATCATTTTCTCCCACTACATTACTCACAACCTCCCTCTCACCCACATTTTCCTCTTCCAATTCAGGTATCCCTTCTTCCTCCCTCACTGCCCTCAATTCATCATCCGGGTGTCGTTGAAACCCGCCTCCGAAACCACCCCCACCACTAACGTTACTATCCATGACATCGGTCCGAACCCCGGCAAAGGGGTTAAAAAAATCCCACCCACCATAATCCCTTTGAGGGGATGGCATTGGTGGTGGCATTGACATTGACATTGGCATACTCATATTACTCATGTAATAATACCCATAAGGCGGCAGCTGCTGCTGCTGCTGCTGCTGCTGTTGCTGTTGTTTTTGCTGGTTCTGCTGCTGAGTTTGTAAATCAACATTATTTTTCCGCTCTCTTTCCTCCAAATGTTCCTCCGAAGAAGAATCGGAGGAACACGAGGAGGAAGAAACAGGGGATTCACAACAGGGGAGTGCTTCTTGAGTGGTGGTTGTAGGCTGAGATGGGTGGTTCTGCTGCAGAAACATGGGGTTTGTGATTACCTTTTCGGCTTCCGGTACCGGGGCTTGGGACGAAGGAGAGCAATTAGGAGGTGGGAAAGTGATTAAAAATGGTGAAGAAGGTGTTGAATGTCTAGCTACAAACAGCTTAATAGCAGCTGAAACTGCATATAGTGAATGACAGTACCTACAATGTGCATCTGCTAATGCATACCTTTTTTCTACTGCTAATTTCATTAACTTCTTTCTTTCTCTACAAATTGAAACAACTTCTTCTTCCTCTAATTTTGATGCTACACAACCCATTATTCTTTTATAGAAATTAAAGTTTGGGAAAAGAAAAATTAAATAAAAGAACAAAAAAAATGGTGGGTTTTTAAAAGAAGAAGAAGAAAATCAAAAAAGGTGGAATTTTGGAGGAATGTGCACCATATTTTAGTCCCCTTTTTTCTTCTTTTTTATCATTAATTTGTAAAAAAGATGAAAGCTTTAGGGTTTTTTCTGAGGTTCTTCCAAAAATGGTGTTTTTTTTTCTTCTTTTTGTCTTGTTTGGGAACACTCTTTCACTCAACTGGGGTTTAAGAGAAGCAAACTCAGCCTTGTAAAAGTTCTCCAAAAACTCATTTCTTTTCCTAATTTTGCAAAATACAAGCTTAATAGTTTTAAAAAATTAAAACTTTACACAAACTCAAAAAATGAGAGTAGCAAAAAAACACCAAAAAAAAAACAAAAAAAAAACAGAGGAATTATACAGACTTGAAGTTTCTGCTAGTTTTTCTTTCTCTCTTTCTTTTTTACTTTGGCAGAAATACAGGAGAAGAAGAAGAAGAAGAAGAATATGGAAAAAAGAAGAGAGAGAAAATAAGGGAGGGAAATAGGAATAGTAGGGGAGGAGAGAGAAACAGAAAGAGGGTAGCAGGAAGAATCAAAGCTCGGTAAGGGTGGCAAGGGGCTCGAGAAAAAACACTGTTTTTTTTTTTTTTTCTTTTTTTCTTCCCTTTTTATTTCCTCTGTTGTGTTCT